AAAAACAGTTTTAAGTCCTGAGAAAGTCAAAAGGTTTGTAAAACCAGGGCCGTCCCTGGCCAACATGAGGCCCCACACAAAGTTATATGATGAGGCCCTCTGTTTTGCGAGCGTTGGCGGGGGGGGGGGGGGGGGGGGGGGGGGGGGGGGGTGTTGCTAGTGGAGCCTCGCAGCGAAACCGTGCCGCGCAACACTAATTGCGCCGCATTTTGGCCCCACGCAGTCTGCATGATCGGCCTGTAGGGAGGGACGGCCCTGTGTAAAACTACACTGCCCAGCCAAAAACAAAGTAACCACTTTGATTTAACTAGGCCAGTAGGTAAGGAATTTCCACTGGATAATAACTTACTGCAGCGATGTATATGTTTTAGCTGAATACACGTTTTTTAACCCTAACTGATGCAGTTAGTCACTTCTTTAATGTTTGTTCTTTCTGATGTAAAGTTAAGGTTGTAACTGTTTGCAGTAAAGTCGTGGGGCGCTGAACTGTTCGTTTGAATCTTTTGAATTTTGATACATGATATAATTACTTGTCTTTCAAATTTGAAGGAGGGTGAGCAAGCATCTTGAGGAACATTCATCATTAACTCCTCCAAAAAATAGTTTATTCAATAATAAATGAATATGTGAATCATAACAGTGATTGACAGCTGATAGGAATAATATGATTGTTAATAGTATCATATTCATTCAGACAAACATCGATGAGACAGTTAATTAATGTACTTATTGCAGCAGTCTTCATATATTTGGTACCCCTGCTGGTCTAAGAGTGAAACAAACTCATTCAGTTATTGGTCAGTTAAAGGTAGGGTAGGTAAGTTTGAGAAACCGGCTCGAGATACACTTTTTGTTATATTCCATGGAATGCTCTTAACATCCCGATAGGCAGCAATGAATATCTTAAGTGCTTTGACAAAAAATCCAACAAGTGAAGTCTCAGTGCTGTGGTTAGGTCGAAAGCCCGACTGAAACACATCAAAACCGTCAGTTAAAAACATGAAATTACTCAACTGTTGAAAAACTGCTTTTTCAATCAATTTGTTTAAAACGGGAAGGTTTGATATGGGCCTGTAATTATTCATTATGGTTTCGTCTAGGTTATGCTTTTTTAGGAGCGGTTTAATTATTGCAGTTTTCAGGGCCTGTGGAAATACACCTGATTGAAGAGACGTGTTTACTATGTGTAGTATATCTGAGGCCAAGCAATGAAAAACAGTTTTGAAAAATCCTGTCGGGATGATGTCGAGGCAGCAGGAGGAGGATTTCAGATGTTGGATAATGTCTTCCAGGTCTTTAGCATTTATCAGACGGAATTGTGACATGATGTCTGAATTGGCTTTAGATGGACACAGGGACAGTACATTTGCTGTACCTGATACAGACGAATTGACTGCTTGTCTAATTTGCATGATTTTGTCAGTGAAGAAGGCAAATTCATTGCAGGCCCTGGTGGATAGAAATTCTGAAGCTACTGACACTGGGGGGTTTGTTAGTCTGTCGACGGTAGCAAACAAGGCACGTGAGTTGTTTTTATTTTTGGTAATGATGTCAGAGAAGAACGATTGTCGTGCCTTTTTTATTTCCTGATTATAGAAACCGAGTTTCTCTTTATATATTTCCAAGTGAACCTGGAGATTTGTTTTTCTCCACCTGCGTTCAGCTTTTCTGCACTCAGTTTTTGCTGTTCTCACAGTCATGACTTTTCTCCATGGAGATATTTTCTTGCTAGATACTTCCTTTGTTTTAATGGGAGCAATGGTATCCATGACATTTGTTATTTTAGAATTAAAATGATCAACTAGCTCATTTACTGATAAGTTAGCATGGGCAAGTGAGGGAGTAAAGATCTGAGCAAACATTTCTTGTGCATTTTCAGTTAAGTGACGTCTTGTGGTTACCTCTTTCTTAACAATTGTATGGACGGTAATAGAGCTCTCAAAGAAAACACAGGAATGGTCGGAGAGCGCAACATCAGTCACCACAAGCTTAGAGATATTCAGACCCTTTGATACAATTAAGTCCAGGGTGTGCCCCTTATTGTGCGTCGGACCCTTGACATGCTGAGTCAGTCCAAAATTGTCGATAACACAAAACAGTTCTTTAGCCCCTCTGTCCTCAGGGTTGTCAACATGGATATTAAAATCGCCAACAATGATTAAACGGTCAAAGTCAATACACACTATAGACAACAACTCGGTAAAATCATCAAAAAAGCTTGCACAGTATTTGGGTGGTCTATAGATGTTTAGGAAAAGAGCTCGAAAGGAGCATTTCAACTGAAGGGCCACATATTCAAAAGAAGCAAAGTTTCCATACATAGTCTGCTTGCATTGAAATAAGTCATTAAACAAAATAGCTAGTCCACCCCCTTTCTTATGTAGTCTTGCCTGACTCATAGAATTAAAGTTGGGAGGAGTTGATTCTATAAGAACAGCTGTGCTGTTGTTTTGGTCTTTTGTTTCAGTTAAAAACATAAAATCCAGGTTGTCCTTGGTGATAAAATCATTGATTAAAAATGATTTACCTGCTAAAGACCTGACATTTAATAAAGCCAGTTTAAAGGTGGGGTAGGTAAGTTTGAGAAACCGGCTCGAGATCGCTAGAATTTGAAAATACACAACCGGAGAAAATCTGCCACTTCCTTATAGAGCTCCTCCTCCAACACACACGAACGCGCACATGACCAATGAGGGCACGAGATAAGTTTGTGCACAGATGGAAGGCTGACAGGCAGGTAGGCCATCCAGTTATTTTAGCCGGGCCGGCTAAAAGGATTGGTCGTACTTTTTACAGTACTACGGCTTCCACAGATGATATTTTTGTATGGATTTTTTGTCAAAGCACTTAAGATATTCATTGCTATCGGGATGTTAAGAGCATTCCATGGAATATAACAAAAAGTGTATCTCGAGCCGGTTTCTCAAACTTACCTACCCCACCTTTAAGTGTGCTTGACATACCACCACTTTGACTGTTAACGACAGAATGTGGAGCACGTGGAATCACTGCAAAATGTGATACATTACATACATTCAGACGGATGCCCTTGGATCCTCTGTTCTCAGTCCGAGTCGCCAGCCTGTGTAAGCAGGCCACAACACAAATGGGACGCTGCACTAGAAGCCTCTGGTCGTTGGGTGGCGCCAGAGAGCGAGACGGCAGGCGTGGAAACAGTGGCCTTGGACGACACCGCCGCAGAGGGGGGTGTGTCAATGTGGCGCTGCAAAAGTCAGGGAGAGGTCTGAACAGCGTGATGCATGTCAGCCGCTAGCATGCGGCTACCCAACCTGCTGGGGTGGATTCCATCAGTGCCGAAGAGGGCGGGTCGGTCCCAAAATAGATTGAAATTGTCAATAAAACCAAAATTGGCAGCTCTGCAGGTGGATTGGATCCAAGTGTGGAGGCTGACCTAGTGAAACGCCCTGCTCCGCGGCCTAGCGTTGGGATCGGACCTGAGATAAAAACCGATTTTTCACAGCTCCGTAAAAGAATAAAAAGTTTCTTAAAATCCTTTTTTGTCAGCTCCGACTGCTGGCGGAGAAAGAGACTTTCTTATTAATTCATTTAAGTTAATGATGTTTGTAGAATAACTCACAATTTATCATTTGAATTATAATACCCTGAAAAGGCAGGAATGTGACTGAGTTATTATTATTATTAGAAATATGCAATGAGCCATACAAAATGTTTGTGATTTTGTTTGCATGTGAACTAACATTTGTTTGTCCTCTGTGTTTTGAAGGTTTTCAACCTGATGAGAATCTGATGAAAAGTGTCTTATAAATAACTGCTGAGCAGAAAATAAAGACAAAAGAAAGAATCTGAGTTGTCCAAGCGTCCTCTGTTGCCCTCCAGCCTCTCAAGTTTGGGCAAAACACTGAATACAGGCCAAAACCAGGAAGAACTTGACAGGAATAGTTTAATATTTACGTGAAATCAAATCTACTGATATGAATCTATTTTAAATGCAGGACACATTGAAAACGCAAAATAAATGATAATGCATATTTCTTTTTAGCCTTCCCTGATATGTAATATAAGGAAAAGCAAGAGAACATTTATTTCGGTTGGTCAAGGACATGCAATGGAAAGAGTAGGGTATTCAGATAATTAAATCATGTTTAATACTACTCTTCTGATACCCTATGAATTCAAAGGCTTTCATGTAATATGCACAGCAGCTACATTGAAGAAATGGCAATGAGAATCTTAAGTCCCGAGCTCCTCCAACAATGCAACATAGTTATACAAGACATAAAACAAGTGCAAGAAGAAACAGTGATCAAATAGTGCAGATTATGTTGCAGATCAATGTGCAAGTAATGCAGATGAAGTAAACTATATGTCATAAGAATAAATAATGACAATAAGCCAAATAATGCAGAGAATGTTGTAAGTGACCAAGTAAATGCAAGAGTCTTTATACATGTAAATAGAATAAGACATACAGAACAGAATGTAAAATTAAGTATTGTAAAGTGAAATAAAATTAAATACTGTTTATTGCAGTGATAACTCATTTTGATAAATAAATTGTGTGATGCAAACAGATAAATACTTTAGGTTATGGCCTTGATACAGATGTCAGATGTTTCTTTATTTTTTGTAAATACTGCAGCACAATCATTTGGTAAGGCACTATGATTTTGCAGTGTCATTTCAGTTTCATTCTTATTTCATTTCTTATTTTAATTACATTTGATAGGATTGAGTCCTTGACAAACCATTAACTATATGTTTTAATGCATTCTTATCAACATCTTTACTGTTAAGGCTAGGAGATCAAGATGAATATACATATGTCCAACAAGTTTAATATAGGACAGATCCACCATGAAGCAGAGGGAAATGCCCTGTGTCATATGAATCTGACTGATATGAAAACAGCACGGCATGTGGTCATATAACCCTTCAACGCCCTCCAGAGGAGGAGGGCAGCATTACATCATTCATTCCTGCTGGCTGAAAATAGTTAAGTTTCGGTTTCCAATCATCAGAAATGATACCGAGCCTTCCTACTGCAGTGAACGCAGCAGCTGCTCAGAGCTGCAGTTGCTGTCTGGTTGGTCTGGTTCAGCTGGGAGCAGGACAACAGGAAGAGGGTGAACAATAATGGAGCCGGAGCTAGAGTTAGAAATATTAAAGTTTATCTGCGCTAATCAGGGATCAGTGAACACTGAGGAGCTGCTGTGTAACCTCGGCTCAGGCGACGCTACGGCTGACATCATCACTAACCGAGAGAAGTTCGCCTTCTGTAGTCCGTTCGGTCAGTCGAAGGTGGTGGCGCGGACCTGGCTGAGGCTGTGTCTCTTGAAGGACTGTCCGGGCGCGTGCACTGGGCTGCACCTGTGTAAAAAGTTCCTCCTTACCGGATCCTGTCCGTTCACCCGCACGAGGTAAACACAGTCGACCGGGTGTGTCATATGACTGCTGGGCAGACACTTGGAGAGGCCTGCACCCCCACAGACATGTCTCAGTGTTTTTAATTGTTGATTTCCTAAATAACATTATTTCCCAGTGTTGTTAAAGCGATTTAACTAACAGAGAAACGACCACAGGGTTGTTCAGGGTTATTATTAATGTGATGTCTTCGCATGATTTAATTACCTGTTTTTAAAGGCCTGGAGGCACGTGGTGCGTTCAGGTACTCTTCGCTTTTTTCCCCCTTCTTCCCTTTATTCAAGAATAGTCAATTGATATCAAGTTAGAATACTGAAACTTAAGTCTTATCTGAGATTTTGTGAAAATAGCTTATAAGGTTAATGATATGTCTACAAGCTAAATATGGTGCGTAGCTAATTCCTTCTGCAGTTTAGTTTAGCTCAAGTTTTTTCAGGGGGGAATAAGCTAGCTAGCTATTTTCTGAGGCAACCAAATCCATGTTCCAGCACTTCTAAAGAGCAATAATTGCAGCTTATCTATACTTTAATAAAGTAACATTAAAGATCAAGTGTTTAGATGTATTGGCAATCTATAGGGAATGGGAAGCGCCGTGCATTCTGGGCAGGGGCGTAGCACAAAACTCCGGGCCCTACTGTATACGTAAACTGTCTCTGTGGGCCCCCTTCTTGATCCATGTCTCTCATGCATTTTATGAAATGTATTTACAAATGATCGAGCCAACAACTGTACACATTGATCTGAAGCGGTTATTAGGGTAGTCACTAATGAACTAAAGTAGAACTAAAGTATAATGGCGCGTTTCCACTACAGCGCGCAGCCCGGTTTAAGAGGGCTGTGACGTCAGCGGCCCGTCTTTGGTTGCGTTTCCACTTGGCCTAGTACCGGCCGGCGGGTCCTAATTCACAGTTTTTCTGGCCTCATAAAATCGTGGGTCCAGGGCCAGAGACAACGAGGCTGAGTCGGGCTGAGTATGCTAAACTAGAGAGAGCGTCGCTGGCAAGGGGGCTACAACTACAACAAGATGGACATATTTGACCGTGATTTAATTGTAATACACGTTTCAAAATGATGCCGAAGTAACAACATACTGATACCGGTTAGTAAAAACCATGATTTAATGCTTTGTCAAGTCTGCAGACAGACGGCAGGGGAAAAACCTTTTAAAATGCTTGTTTTCTAAATGGAGATTGGCTAAGCTAACGCAGTATATGCTCCGACCGTCCACACTCACAACAACGGCCTATACAGACATAAATAAAGCAGCGACTGTATTCACCATGACACAGGCAGTCTGTGGTTTGTACTTGTTTAACTTTTGTCTAGTTTCTGAACATATATGAGGAGCTGTGAGCTCTGAGTGCTAACAGCCAACGGCTGTGTTGTTTTTCTGGGGTCCTCTGAAGATCACGTCACGGCTCCGCCTACACTGCGTTACTATAGATACTGCCCCAGTTCCTAAACTGTAATGGAAATGCGCCATAAAGTGAGCCAGTCCTAACGAGGCCCAGCCATACCGAGCGGGGCCGAGCGAGGCCGTGTAGTGGAAACGCGCCATTAGTAGTAATAATAGAAGTAGGCCTAATAATAATCTGTGCACATGTTGACCCTCTTTCCTCAACATACTGTAGCTTACAATTACTTTACTATGGTTACATGAGGTTTGCTTGGAGTATCATGCTTAAGGGAACATTATCCATGTTTATTTAAGTATTTCTCATTCCCATGGTATAAGACAAAACTAAACACCATCTTAGTTTTCTAACCACTACATTGAGAAAGTGCTTACTATACTGCATAATAAAAGACAACTCAACAAGACTTCACTAGTCATGTTTATTTGCATAAACAACAACACACAAAACATCAGAAAGCATATAGGCAAAAAAGTATTAATTAAAACTTTAGAAAGCTGAACAAACAAAAGTTCTGCTTTGGATAATATGATTGATCTTGAAGTTATTGAACAAATATGAAGAATGTCTTACTTCAAACTTGAATGTATGTTATGGAACTGATGCTGACAGTCATGATATTGTAGTTCATTCCCCAGTAAATGCCCAGTGACGGGTCTTCTTGTTGGCAAAATCATTAGCTGACAAGCTTCTTCTTTGAATTATCAGAGCAAGCCCCTCAGGAAGTGTGCCAGTCGCTGAAGCAAATGTTCGTAGTGGCCAAACGGTGGAATTACATGCCATGGGGCCCAAAAATACTTTTTCTCATTGAACTACATTGGGAAAGAGACGTCCGTAAATCTTATGTTTTTTGAGGTAAATCAACTTTCCAGTACGGACACTTGAATAGCCCTTATTTATATAATTAAATCCTAAAAGTTGTAAAATGTGCTAAAAGCCGAAACCAGAGTGTTGTTTTCCCTCCTTCCCGCAGCGGCTGGGAAGCTGGGCTTAATGATAACGAGACGAATCGTAGTGCGGGGGAAGAATAAACAATTTTCCTCCTTTTGTGAGGGGTGAGAGGGGCCCCACACAGCTTTCACCATTTGTTTTTGGATACATAATTCAGTCAGTCAACCGATTTTATTGAGCTAGTTTCATTTTAGTTATGACACTATCTACTAAAAAAAAATTGCAAACAAAAAAAACCTTCTAATTCCATGCCTGTTCAAGGGCCCTCCCCCCATCTGGGCCCTGGGTAGTCAGTCCCACTTGTCCCCCCACTACGACGCCCCTGATTCTGGGGCCATCAATATCAGCATTTCCGAGTCATCTGTCAGCTGTTTTGCATCCGAAATGAATAAAGTATGCGTGATATATATATATAATAGCCCTTACCAAGAGAAGCTCTGAACAGAAACATGAATATGTACGTATACCGCGATATTTCCTGTTATAAATCCTATTCCCAGAGTAGTGGTTTTTGTTACAGTAGTTCAGCAGACGGCTGACATCAACACATTCAGCATCTCTTGCTGTTAGTTTAAAAGAATAAAAGGAAATCCCATGGTCCTTTTTTTGTTCTGTTCGTTGGTCATAGGAGAGACTGTTCCAGGGCCGGTTCCGGGCTAGAGCCCGATTTAGGTCTGATTTTTCCTGTTTCCATCGCAGCGGAGCCGGCTCTAAGCACCGAAAACCGGTACTTAGCTGGCCCCACTCGGCTGCCCGGTAAGAACCAATACTTCATCCTTACGTCGGAGGGGGGCGAGATTAACCTCAGCAATAACAGTTAATGGCGAGTACGGCAAATAAAACTAGAACGCGACCACACACTTGTAAAAAAAACACACTTTATAAAGTAAGGCAACACTAACCAGGCCTAGTGTGATTCTGTTTATTTTTACCTTACTTTAATGACCATTTTTTATTTTTTTATTTGATATACCCTTAATCGTCCCACAGAGGGGAAATTTACATTCTGCATTTTACCCATCCTTGTGGTAGTTGTAGTGGGCTGCCATTATATACGGAGCCCAGGGAGCAGTGTAGGGAACAGTGCCTTGCTCAGGGACACCTCTTGTAACACTTGGGCTTTCGGGGACTTGAACCGGTGACCTTCCGGTTCCCAAGCCAAGTCCCTATGGACTGTACCACCACCAACCATCCGTTTGCTGTTATTGATCATTGGGAAGAGCAGGCAGACGTTTTCCTGTTGTTTTGTATTATAGCAGCTATCGGATGGAATCAATACATGGGCTGCACAGGTTGTCATGTCCGACTATCACAAGTAGAATCATAAAGAAAAATACACCGGCAAAAATGGCTGTAGAAAAACAGGTGATATTTTGTCAGATAGTGGATATAATGTCAATTTAATGTGAACTCTGACCCTTCTGCGCTAGTCAGACAATGCAACAATAATATGTCCTTTTGGTCTAATTAAATGCATTGTTACATTTTTATTATTTTCCATAACAAATCTATATTTAATATTTAAACAAAAAAATGTAACTGAAAGGTGTATTGTGTTTTTTGATGACAGGACTGGATGCAGATTCTCCCATTGCCTGGACTCTTTCCACAATGCAGCGAAGCTGACTGAGCATGGTCTGGAGAGCCTGAGCCGGAGTGAGCTGTGCACCCTGCTGCTGCAGAGCGACACCAGGCTCCTGCCTCAGGTACGTCCAGGGGCGGACTGGCCATCTGGAGTTCTGGACAATCACAGAACGGCCGGCACGGCCCATTTTGTTTTTTAAATATCATCATTTGTGTTGCGCTGACAGGCGACAGAGGTCCACAGTTTCCCCGCAGCGAGGCTCCCCCCCCCCCCCCCCCCCCCCCCCCCCCCCCGTTCATGAGTCGAATCATCCATTTAAAAAAACAAATAAGTCAGTATACACTGCTTTATGTTTAGTATCAAGCAGAGGGAGTGTTCGCTAAAATAATTCACAACACAAGCCCCTCCCAACAAGCGGGAGGGCGCAGCGAGCAATAAGTCCACAGTCCCAGGAAGTGACAAAGTCCAGATAAAGGCTGTTATAATCCCCCCCCACCCGGCCCTCCCAAGCCCATCTTCCAACGCTGCATTAGGAAATGCAATGGCCGGGGAAAATCAGCATCGTGGAGGAATCCACGTCAACTGACCACTGAGCTGAAAAAAGAAAATAACTAATTGTAAATGATTCATAATGAAAGGCCAAATCCGATTTGAATAAAAAGGAACAGAATCAGGTTCAACCCTAACATCAAGCTAATTCTGGATCAGCTTTCTATAGACTTACATTTGATCCTTAATATTAAAATAATTAAATATATTGTTATTGTTTTACAGCATTTGTCCTTGAATATTTTTCTTTGCATGTTTGTAACCATGTTTGTAATCATGCAACCTTTCCTCCTTACACCAGATATGTCATAATTACAACAATGGTGGTGGGCGGCTGGGCCTGTGTCAAGAGGGCGATAATTGCACAAGATTGCACATCTGCGAGAAGTACCTGAACAGCGTCTGCAGCTGCATCAAGAACCATGATTTTAACGCTCCACAGCCACAAAAGAGCCTGTCTGACAGAGGTGTGCCGGACCAACTCTTTCCCTCGTTGATGTCTGTCTATGCCAACCTGCTGGCTCTGAAGTACGCCGACAGACAGGGCGACCCTGATGCCAGAGGCTCCGATGGTCTGATTCCACCACAGAGAGAGAGGCAAAGAGGGAGAGGGAGAGCTGGTTTCCGGGGCAACCCAGGCAACCGAGGCAACATGGGCAACCGAGGCAACAGAGGAAACATGGGCAACCGGGGCAACAGGGGCTTCAGGGGGAACAGAGGCAACCGGGGCAACAGAGGAAATCAAGGCAACCAGCCAACCCGTTCCACTGATGAAGTCTTTGCTGACTTAGATCTGTACACCGAAGATGGCCTGAGCGAAGATCGGAGACCTACCTCCCCGTACGTCTCTGCTGCTGCCAACGACACCGATGCCAGCAGCGACGATGGAAAGAGCAGAAAGCCAAATCTGAATAAAACCTCAGCCGCTGTCCGAGGGAGAGGCGGTGACAGTGGCAACCATCAACCGCTGAACAGGAGCCGGGCTACTGCTGACCCTGAGTCAGTGAACGACGACGCAAACAGTGAGGATGGAGCCAGAAGAAGACCGAGGCCTGTCAGAGGTAAACTACGCCCGCTTTCATTGAGTGTTTTTGAAAGAGCTGTGTGAAATGGAACGGCTTTATAACGCACCTCTGTCTGTTTCCTTTAGATAAAACTGAGATATGCATGTTCTTCATCAAAGGACACTGTAAACATGAGGGTGAGTAATCATTGATACATCATAGAGCATTATCAGAAACAGTAATAATTATACTGATTATTATGAAAATGTCAGAAATGGACTCTGTATCCTCAATTACCCACAAAACCACATTTTGTAACTATTATTTACATAGGCTATAATGTTAATTAATGCAATTTATGCTAATTGTGCAAATTGCCCAACATATGCAGGTTAGCGTTCAGCAGTTTCTATGTGCTGGAGACCCGTACTATACATTTCTAACACAAAACTCTGGGGTACTTAAGATTTCCAGATTCACAATAGGACTGTGAGCTGAACTAGACTAACTCTGTAACATGACCACCTATTCTGACAGTGTTGTGTCAGCTATTTGAAATAAACATGAGCAAATCCTGCTGGAAATGCACGTATTTCTTTCTTTCTTTTGTTGTACTAACGGAAATTGTGATTATACATTTTTGTATTACTTTATATTGCACTGACTAAAGTAAGGCTATTATTTATATGTTCACTTTTAAACCTGCAACACTCAAAAACATTGTTCCCAGAGATGTTAAAACCTTCATTTTGAAAGAGTTTTGGTTTGACTGGTTTGAGCCTTTAGCTTTTAAGTTGTGGCGTCTTGTGTGAGGAAATAACACAATGTGAGGAAGTACAGTTATGGTTACAGAACAATTACTCTATCTTGATATATACTGTTACCATGATACGAAAAAATCAAAGAGTTAAACATTATTTTGGCCATATTGCCCAACCCTTGACCATGTCTTCTCAGACGAGCGATGTTATAAAGCCCACAACAAGATGCCGTACAGCTGGCAGGTGCTGCTGGATGATCAGTGGACGGCCCTGCCTAATAATGAGACCATTGAGAAGGACTACTGTGACCCAAAGAACACGTACAGGTACTCTCCACTGACATCAATGGTTTCTGTCGTTTTAGGAGATGTTATTCCGTGGTGTAAATGAATTAAATCGTAGAAATTAAATGATTATTTTGCTGTTTCCAGTAGCAGCAACCTGCCTGTAGACTTCGACACGATGACCCAAGGAGCGAACAAAGTACGCCGACTCTCCACCTCAAACTCTCTGGTGGATGTCAGCTTCCTCCACACCACTGAGTGGGTTTGGTATTGGGAGGATGAGCATGCATCCTGGACCATGTACGCTTCACGTGTGAGTAACTGGAGTCCTTTTTAGTTTGACATAGAGGTTATAATTCAGACATACGTTTCTGACAGGAATTTAAATACTGTGACATCAGAACACATTGCAGCTGTCGATTGACACGAAGTGATGAGCTTTACATTTGTTATTTCTGTTAAAGATCCTCTTATCAGTATGTTTACAGAAATTCGGCCTGTTTTGTTTTTCCATATGGAAAATATTCTACAATAAGGATGTTCAGTCTCCCCAGCCAGCAACATTAGATAGCAGCCAATCGAGGTGTAAATGATGTGATAATTACATGTGGCAGGTCAAAGGTTAAAGTCAGTACTCTGTCATAAGAACCCTGTGAACATAGGAACAGTTCCTCATAGATAACAGTGAGTTAGCAAACAGAGGAAAAAGGAAGCCAATGGTTAACTGAAGATATGCATACTGACAACATGCCTCTGAAAGCTAAGCTAGTAAAGCTGATATGGGCAAAGAATTGCCACTTTACCTCTATTTCAGTGACATTTTGCAAGCGTACAACAACCCTTTCCAATACAAATATTAAAACAGCAACACAACATAATTCACAAATTAAAAGCCAGTCTGAAGAGGTGTATTTTGGTCAGTGTTTTGAAGGTGGGGGGGGGTCGGTGCAGTCTCTGATGTGTTGTGGAAGGGAGTTCCAGAGGGTGGGGGCAGCGATGGAGAAGGCTCTGTCCCCCCAGGTTCGGTGCTTGGTTCGTGTGGGGATAGAAAGGAGGTTGGCTTCTGATGAGCGAAGGCTGCGGGAAGGGGTGTGGTGGTGGATCAGGTCGGTGAGGTAGGGGGGGGCCTGGTTGTTGAGAACTTTGTGTGTTCAGTGTTTCCCCTAGGATGGAGTCATAGCAGCGGTGCTAAGGCACGTGGGCCCAGCACAATGTGAGCGCGGAGCGCGTGGAATTTTTTAGTGTGTGCGCGTGCCAAGTGCGCCCCGCCAACTTGTTTCTATGTGTCTGCCAGCACAAGAAAGGCTCTTGAGGCCTAGTACTAGGGCCGGTTCTAGCCAATTTGCTGCCCTAGGCGAGATTTTAGGCGAGATATTATATATAAAGAATAAATGAAAAATCTCTACAAAAGACAAATACACTACAAAAACAGAAACTTATTGACATAGGTAATAGACGTCAAAATGGCTTCAAATGTATTCAGTATTGTATGAACATGTTTGAATTGGGGGGTGGACGTCACATCCTCTAGGGGGGTCCGGGGGTCTGCCCCCCCGGGAAGATATTTTTGAACATTTTAAAGTAAAATGCTTCTATCTGGTGCACTTTGAGCACACAATTACTAGAGACCTGATCTAGGGGGTACAACTCTAAAACACCCATATGAAAAAGATCGGTTTACATTTTAATAATCAATAAGTATGTGAACATAACCAATAATCTACCATAGCCAATAACAAATAAATGTAACTTATTTTATTTTTGTTGTTCATATCTTATTTTACCTAGTTAACATTTATTTATGCATATTTTTGTATCTCTCCAACCTTAAACGATATTTTTGGTTTACTGTCCTATAGTATACATTGGAATGATTTCAAACCTGTTTTTATTGATCCTAATAATTATAAAGGAGTGCCTTGGAAATATGTGTTTACATAATTTGTAAACACATATTTGTTTGAGACCCACTGAGATAACTTGGATCTAAATACTCAGAGAGTCCTTTACCTCACTGAGCCTCTCAGTCTGACAGGAGAGCTCTCCTCCACCCTGGTTGTAGAAACATCTACTTCTTATATCCGTTAGCGCAGCTAGCACCAGATTCTAATAACAACAGCACCGGTGCGCTCCCTCGCTCTCTCGCTCCCACGCTCGCACTTTGGCTGTGAGCTGCAGGCGCCTGATAAGCCAACATCCCCCACTTTCATCACTTACAGCGCCCATCGTACAGGGCAAATGAAAAGTGTAACCGGGGTGAAAAGGGTGTTACATTTACTTAATTATGAATGTTGTTACATCAAGGCCAAAAATTAGGATGAGCGCCAACGGTCAAAAATGTTTTTTCCCCTCCCAGAGCTACCAGCGCAGCGCCCCCCAGCCCTAGGCGACCGCCTATGCCAAAAATCGGCCCTGCCAGTACATACAGTGGCAATGTCTCAAGATTTAGCAAAAATACACCTTTATTGAACATACAGTAACACAAATACTACAAATCCACATAACAAACAATCAAAAATGAAAAAGGGTCGCCACTTATTATTATTTTAATAAAAAATAAAAATAAAAAAAAATGTTGGGTACCTGGCTGGCTAGCAGTGGCGCGCATATTTCAGCAGCGGTGCTGCGCTGCCGCTATTTGTATATAGGGGAAACACTGGTGTTAGAAGGATTTTGAAGTGTATTCGTTGACGGACAGGGAGCCAGTGCAGGTTTTGAAGGACGGGGGTGATGTGGTCTCTGGAGCGGGTTTGGGTGAGGAGGCGGGCAGCGCAGTTCTGGATATATTGCAGTTGATTTAGAATGTTGGATGATGAGCCATACAGGATGCTGTTACAGTAGTCCAGTCTTGAAGTAATGCGTGGATGAGGGTTTCAGCAGCTGGGAAGGAGAGTGAAGGGCGGAGGTGGGCAATGTTTTTTAGGTGGAAGAAGGCGGTCCTGGTGATATGGTTTATGTGTTTATTGAATTTGAGCTGGCTGTCAAAAATGACTCCAAGGTTGCGAATGTGAGGAGAGGGGGTTGGAGTAGCGTTGACGAGGGTGAGGTTGAAGTTCTGGGTGGTGTTGGTGCGGGATGTGGGTCCGATTATGGTAATATCTGATTTGTCGTTGTTCAGTTAAAGGTAGTTTGTTTGCATCCAGGATTTAATTTCTGAGAGACAGTTGGTGAGTGTGGAGTGAGTTGTGGCAGTGATGGTTTTTGTGGAGATGTAGAGTTGGATGTCATCCGTGTAGCAGTGATACTGAAGGTTGTGGCGGCGGATGATTTTTAAAAGGGGGAGCATATAGAGCAGGGGTGGGGAACCTCCGGCCCCCGGCCCGCGAGACCATTTGCTACGGCCTTCGAGGTAATTTATAAACACACGCAAAAAATATTTTTTTTTAAGAAATCTAGACCGCCAACAAATTAAACAAGCGAGTGCCTGTTTTTCCTGGCCAAGGTCAGGGTCCTTGAACACAACACGAGCCTAACGTGTCATCACGTGGTATATGTCTCGTCTGACAGGGGTGTAGTTACGCCGGAGAGCACCAGAACGCCGCTCCGCCACTTCGAAAAATTGCAGTACCCATAAGGAGCCGTACACATGCCGCAGCTTTTGCGTGGCTGTGTTTTAGTTGAAAGCCCAGTGGCATCTGTTCATCTGTCATACTGATCATACAGTCAATAATGTTGTTGTTATTAGCATCTGGTTAGCTAGCTATGCTAACGAATATAAGAAGCTTCTACAACCAGTGAGGTAAAGGCACATCTTTATATGATCTTTATAAAAAAATAAGAGAATAAAGTAAACAGGTATAAAATACTATATGACAGTAAAAAAAAGTTGTTATTAATTAACAAGAATACAATTGGGGAGTGATTTGTAAAATATCCATAAAGAAAAAGAAATCTGCTTACAGTTCTGTTTAATATGGATGTTAAGAGATGTATCCATAGATCTCTTAATGTTGCTCTCAAAGTGCACCAGATTGATGCTTTTAACTTCAACATTTAAAAGAAAATCTTCCCGGGGGAGCATACCCCCCTTGAGGAGGTTAGGTCCCCCCCCCCCACTTAAATCATGTCCACATGGATAGGAAACTAAATACATTTGCACACATCTTGTGTCCATATATTTCTGTTTTGGTGGTCATGCCACAACCGTGCTCGTGCATGCATGCGCGAGTCATGGTAAGATATCTGGATTAAGAGGTTGCTTTTTCTTTGCACAGCATGAAAGAAAGGCCAAATTAATGGGCTGTGATTTTAGTTTTTTTAAGCAGAGGTCAATAATTTGTACGGCCCTCGGAGGATGTTGAAAAGATTGAAATGGCCCTTGAGAGGAAAAAGGTTCCCCACCCCTGATATAGAGGATGAATAGGAGGGGACCAAGCACCGAACCCTGGGGGACGCCTTGGGACAGAGGAGCAGCGGAGGAAGTGCAGTTATTGATATGGATGAACTTGTGTCTGTTGGTGAGGTAGGATTTCAGCCAGGAGAGTGCAGTGTTGGTGATGTTGAGTGAGGATTCCAGGCGGGACAGCAGGATGGTGACGAACGCTGCTGTGAGGTCGAGGTCGAGGAGGATGAGGATGTTGAGGTTGCCGGAGGAGAGGAGGAGGTCGTTAGTGATTCTGAGGAGGGCTGTTTCTGTGCTATGTTTTGTGCGGAATCCTGATTGAAAGGGTTCAAACAGGTTATTGGAGCTGAGGTGGGATTTTAGTTGGGAGGCTACAACACGTTAGAGTAGTTTTGGGGGAGATTCGAGATGGGCCGGAAGTTGGACATGATGTCAGGTGTGAGTTCAGGTATTTTCAGTATGGGTGTAACAGCAGCCAGTTTGAGTGAGGGGGGGACTGATCCAGAGCAGAGGGAGGAGTTAATGATTGTGGTTATGAGTTGGGAGATGGGAGGGAGGCATTCCCTGACAAATTGTATTGGTATGGGGTCCAGAGTGCAGGTGGAGTTCATTCCAGCCATGAGGGTGGACAGTTGCATTGGGGTCACAGGGGAGAACCGGGATAGGGGCTGTGAGGTGAAGGGGGGGAGCCAGGAGGGGAGATGGGGAGGGCTGCTGAGGAGGTCAGGTTTCTATAAATGCTGTCGATTTTGGATTGAAAGAACGAGAGGAAAGAATTGCACTGTGCGGTTGTGAAGGATGGGGTGGCGTTGTCACAGGGTTTAAGGAGTGTGCTGATGGTGGAGAACAGAGCCTTGGGGTTGCTGGAGCCGGAGTGTATCAGTTGTGAGTAGTAGGTGGACCGAACTGCTTTGAGTGCGTTATTGTACTGATGTAGGTAGTCGGTGTAGGCATGGAGATGAACTGTGGTTGAAGAGTGGTTATCTTGTGAAGGCGTTGCAGTTGGCGTTGTTGTGATTTCATTTGGCGGAGTTCGGGGGTGTACCAGGGAGCTGAATGTGTGAAAGAGACCAGTTTATTAAGACAGGAGGAGAGGGTGTTGTAGTAGTCCACCAGTTGACATGGATTGTCAGGCGGTGGGGAGGCAGGCAGACTCATGGTCTCTTCATGTGTTAACTACCTTCTTTGTCCTGTTTTTGGTTTATAGAAGACGTTCCTTGTTTCTCTTGAATAGCTTAGCTTGAAATGCTACCCTTCACATTAATTTAATTGTAATCTCTTGTTTTATGGCTCCACATGCAGCATATCTGAGGAAAGAGGTTAGCATAGCATAGATTGTAGCAACATGCTACAATTAACTTTCATGAACCCAAAACCAGCAGACTTGAATCCCTCCGATTGAGACCATAATCTCACGTTTGCAATGTTTACAGAGAGGTAATGAATCCAGTCAGAATTAGGGTCTGATATAATAGACTTATTTTTGTTAACAATGGAGTCGCCCCCTGCTGGCTGTTAGAATGAACGCAGATTTCAACATTTGCTTCACTTTTTACACTCTGAGGTTGGCCCTTGCTTGTAATACATCAAAGGTTTCTACTTCTCATGCTAAGCTAAGCTAACTGGCTGCTGGTACTACCTTTTATAGTTGGCAAGCAACCATGAGATTGGTGTCATTTAATTCTTAGAGAAAACGCAAACAAGTGATGTTCCCACACTGTTCTTTATGGCGCGTCTCCACTACAGCGCGGAGCACGGTTTAAGAGAGCTGTGACGTCAGCGGCCCGTCTTTGGTTGCGTTTCCACTTGGCCTAGTACCGGCCGGCGGGTCCTAATTCACAGTTTTTCTGGCCTCATAAAATCGTGGTTCTAGGGCCAGAGACAACGAGGCTGAGTCGGGCTGAGTATGCTAAACTAGAGAGAGCGTCGCTGGCAAGGGGGCTACAACTACAACAAGATGGACATATTTGACCGTGATTTAATTGTAATACACGTTTCAAAATGATGCCGAAGTAACAACATACTGATACCGGTTAGTAAAAACCATGAATTAATGCTTTGACAAGTCTGCAGACAGACGGCAGGCGAAAAACCTTTTAAAATGCGTGTTTTCTAAATGGAGATTGGCTAAGCTAACGCAGTATATGCTCCGACCGTCCACACTCACAACAACGGCCTATACAGACATAAATAAAGCAGCGACTGTATTCACCATGACACAGGCAGTCTGTGGTTTGTACTTGTTTAACTTTTGTCTAGTTTCTGAACATATATGAGGAGCTGTGAGCTCTGAGTGCTAACAGCTAGCGGCTGATGTTGTTTTTCTGTGGTTCGCATTGAAGATGACGTCACGGCTCCGCCTACACTGCGTTACTATAGATCAGGGGTCTCCAACCTTTCTTCATCTGAGAGCTACTTTCAAAAAATGAAAGTGGCCAAGAGCTACTTGCATCACATCGCTTACATTTATTCACATAGCCCTCATCAGTTGAATTAAGCTATACTTTTGTACACGTGTGAAATTGCAATACCTAAAGCTTATCAAAAATAAGGTCCAAGAAAACGAAGATTTCTCACATATTATTATGGCCCACATAATAAGTACATCACTGAACATTCACATAAGTGTCCTTAATCACCACCTTACAAGCATTTCACTCTTTTGTTAGTGAGATTAATGGCACTGCATACAGTCCACCATAGAGGTGTATGCTGGACCCACTTAGGTTCACTTAATAGAGTCATTTAAATGTTCATCAGTCGGTCTTGTTCTGTATTTAGATTTCATTCATGTCAGAAAAAGCTGCTTCACAAAGGTATGTAGAACAGAACCAAATAAAGCAGACATTTTCAGTGCTGCTTGGTGAATGTTCTTATAGTTTTCTGGGTCTACAAGGCTCCAGAAATGTTGTGAGTTTTGCTGAGACTTAAGCTGAACATTATTTTGGAGATCTCCACAGGATTGACACTGAACAGTTGTTCAGCCATCTTTTTCTTCTTCTTCTTCGTCTTGACATTAAATTATAAACCATAATAAATCAATTGTATAGGTCTAGCCTCCCTATATCTGTGTGTGAAAATGGTTCCATCCTCAAAAACAAAAAACTAATACTTCTGCAGTCTAGCTGCAGCTTCTAGCAACGGTCTTCTGTTAAAAAAAAGACACACATGACTTGAGTCTGAAAACAGCAGGAGTATTTACAATAGCATTATAAAAACAAAAATAGTGCATGTGGGTGCACACTTACATTCTCTGTCTTACTGTTACATAAATCCCATGAATGTATGAGATTAAGTTAGCTTCATCATATCTCAATCAGTGATTAAGTGAATAATAAAGTTTCTATCGGGTCACTATCAGCCTGTCACTCATTATTTTCAGGGAGGGGGGCGGGGTTTGGAGGAACGGAGAGGAGACGGTGATCGCGGAAGCTTTCCTCCTGCCTTCACAAACTTTACACAAGTATTTATCAACTGAAAATAGCAAGAGGACATTCATACTCCGCAATCCAAGACTTGATTAAATTCACCAAAAACCTGACATGACGATAACGAGTGTTTTTCAAAAAACACAAATCCCTCCCTGTGTGTCTCTGAGGCGCAGCGACAGGGCCTGATTCAGAGCGGGTCATTCTGCTGTTAGTTCTGGACTCGTGCTGGTGGAGAAAGCAGACTGCTCCGTGTGTGTTGTCGCTGTGCTGCTGTCACGTCTGTTCCTTGATCTCTGCGTCACCGACCATTTGATATTCGTGTGACAGAAAAAAATCTAAAATAAAAAAACGTTATTGTCCAGCCGCGGCCGAAAAATCAATAAGCAACCTTACTACGCTATAATCGATAATCGAGCGGCGAGCTACTGAAAAGCTGCCCGCGAGCTACCGGTAGCTCGCGATCGACGTGTTGGAGAGCCCTGCTATAGATACTACCCCAGTTCCTAAACTGTAATGGAAATGCGCCATAAAGTGAGCCAGTCCTAACGAGGCCTAGCCATACCGAGCGAGGCCGTGTAGTGGAAATGCGCCATTATAAACACCCCTATCTCCCTCCCCCCATTGCACCTCATAATGTAATTTGACTGACATTCACGTTGACAGTATATATTTGATCAATTGTTGTTGGCGATTAGGCAGTAGTCTCTTTGCATACCATACCATCCTGATTGGTCACCTACCCCTTCAGCAGAGTTGTGAGGAATGAACTGTTCTGTGTTTCAGTCTGGTGGGCACAGCGCAGCAGACACTGGCAGCGCTGAGCTGGAGCAGAAGTTTCTGGACAACGCCAAAGATGTGGTGGAGTTCAGCGCCGGCTCACAGGCATACTCCCTCAGTTTCCAGGGTAAACAAATATTGCGCAATGGAGTTTTTTGAATTTTCAAACTTTAAAGCAGTACAATAATCGTTTTACTGTTCCTCAGACTTGATCCAAACAAACAAGCAGTACGGCACAAAGAGGGTTGTGAAAAGACGGCCCCGGTTCGTCTCTGCAGCTGATGTTAGGGCAAAGAACACAAGGTGCGTTATCCAAAGTAAAATATGTTGGACCAACTTATGGAACATTGTTATTGAAACCACCATAAGATTAAACTAACCCTTATTCTTCTTTGCTTTATAACAACAGAAGGCCTCTCGCTCAACCAGGCACTGTACCGGATCACTGGGACAAGACACAGATTTCTCAAACAGGATACAAGGTATTCATAATGTTCAGCAACATCAATCATATTGGACTATATCAAATAATATGAAAAGTTCTCCTTGTAGGTCACAGGTCTTTGAAGGGTAAGGATCTGAGATGCAAGGACACAAAAACACCAACAAGTTTATTTCTAGTTACTTACACATGTCTATCTAATACTACAGGTACTACAGGCAATGGTGACTGGCCATAAAGAATACTTTCATACACATTTCATTTCAAACCTTTAGACACATAGATCCCCAGGTTACACCTTGTTTAATTCGAATCACACTAGAAATAGCAAGCTTCCAAGACAGCAACAAAACAGAAGTCAGAAAAAGCCAGTCTGGTTACTCAGATTAAATCGTATTTTGGTAAGTTTCATGCTGCATGCCCAAGGGATGCGTCCTGGCCAATCACTTATTATTTCACAGTTCTGTATGATAACGCCTTTATAGACCCCCATCTTGTTTACCTTGCTTCGTGGCTGTCATTTCTTTGGTGTACTATCACCTTTTACAAAGACCAAAATAAAATGGATTGTGATTATTTCCATAATCAAGCAGCCCTAGTGGGACTGATGTGAAGCCCCCCCCCCCTGCAGAGCCACAGGTCCCGTCCAACGTGCCCCCCCTCAAAAATCAGCTGACATGAACCACACCTGAGACAGCTCCCTCTGGTGGACAAACTGCTTCCTGTTAGTGTTGGAATTAAAGAGGCCATATCATGCTCATGTTCAGGTGTATATCAGTATGTAGTGTCTCTACTTTAAAGAGTCCTCTCCTGCTGATGTTCAGGTGTATATCAGTATGTAGTGTCTCTACTTTAAAGAGTCCTCTCCTGCTCATGTTCAGGTGTATATCAGTATGTAGTGTCTCTACTTTAAAGAGTCCTCTCCTGCTGATGTTCAGGTGTATATCAGTATGTAGTGTCTCTACTTTAAAGAGTCCTCTCCTGCTGATGTTCAGGTGTATATCAGTATGTAGTGTCTCTACTTTAAAGAGTCCTCTCCTGCTGATGTTCAGGTGTATATCAGTATGTAGTGTCTCTACTTTAAAGAGTCCTCTCCTGCTGATGTTCAGGTGTATATCAGTATGTAGTGTCTCTACTTTAAAGAGTCCTCTCCTGCTGATGTTCAGGTGTGTATCAGTATGTAGTGTCTCTACTTTAAAGAGTCCTCTCCTGCTGATGTTCAGGTGTATATCAATATGTAGTGTCTCTACTTTAAAGAGTCCTCTCCTGCTGATGTTCAGGTGTATATCAGTATGTAGTGTCTCTACTGCGACATGTCTCCATGCTTCAATGTTCAAAAAGCTCTTTATTTTTCTCAAACTGCCTGTGCTGCAGCACCTCTTTTCACCCTCTGTCTGAAACCAGAGCCCAGTCTGCTCTGATTGGTTAGCTGGCCGGCTCTGTTGTGATTAGTCAACCGCTTAGAGATGTCCCGCCCCTTAGCCTACCACATACAATAGGTTTTGTTAACAATTATTATACATTAAGTTTTGCATACCATGAACGGAACAAATAAAAATGAAATGAATCCATCAATTATTATTATTGTTATGATTGCTTTTATAACTTTAAATGACATTTTATACCTGGAAAAACAAATACAGGACCGAAAATAATACATAGAATACTATAATAAAAGAGATGGATAGGAGAGATGGACAAAATCATTTCAATGAGAAACTAAATCCCAGGTTTGAAGGGATTTATGTGGAGTGAAGTCCAGTGACAGGTGATAAAAGTGCGCGCACCAGAAGTAAAGGGCGTTGTTTATGATGACGCTGGAGTGAACGAGGACATCCCAACTCATACCTGAGGACTCCTAATGTGTTGGAGCGCTACACACTACACGAAAAAGAAAACCCCCAAAAGCATGATGGAGCCTCTTAAGATATACACGGGTGGTAACAAAACATTTCACGGTAAAATACTGAAACGTGCAAGCAAAGGTAGGACCCTCATTTTGGATGTTATAAACGAGAAGACCCATAAAAATGACGAGGCAAGAAAGAGAACAAAAAGGGTTGAGACACTGATAGGCTTAGCTATTTATTAGGATCCGGAGTAAATTTGACATTTACATTTTTGTATTGCCCATCAAGATAGCTCCTACTATACTGGTCTATACTGGTCTATGCACATTTTTGCCATAGGTAATAATCATTTATTTTCCCTTTGTGTTTACAGACAGTCTCCCTCCATCGCACCTCAGACGAATATTTGGAGATTGAAACCCTCTTCTGTAACACCATGAGAGGCTTTGACATCGTGAAAATAGAAAGGATTCAGAACAAAGCTCTTTGGGAAGCCTTTCAGTTGTACGTATATGATTTGAGAAGATTTGTGTTTGGCATCTGAACTTATTATCCAGCTGTGTGATTGTGTGTGTGATAGCTGGGTTTATCATTGTATGTGCTCTCTGGTTGTTAAAGCCAGGCATTATAAAGAAATAAAGACAGATGTGAGCGTTCCAGCTCACGATAGGGATACAAATTACGGATGAAAAAGGTCGGTTTGAAAAACAAGCAACGTTTATTTCAAACTCCTATCGTTTATTTCAAACTGAGGGCGTCAACACAAAAGGGGTTCACATAAACACCGGTCTGCTCCTCTATTTCCGGATGTGGCTTGGAGAGTGACGGTCCTCCTCTCAGGACCCAGTCTACTGCAAGAGCCCAGAACCAGGTTACCAGCATGCTTTTTACTGAGAGCCTAATTACCTGATTCTGATCAGCTGTCTGGTCTCCGGCTGAGCCACTCCCATCACTCCAGCATCCGGCGCTCCAACCACACCCCGCTGCCACAACAGATTTTCTGGTTGCAGTCGAATAATCCAAAAATCAGCTCCTATCGTCTATCCCTATCGTCTATCCCTTGACCTCTGAGTGAAACGTCACGGGGTTAAGGGATAGTGGATAGGAGAATTCAAAAGGATTTAGGAGAAGAGACTGCGGTACTTTAGAGAATCCGACTGCACTTTCACTATCCGACGTGTTTATGATGCGCAGCAGACGGTCATAAATGTGCGTCCTGCTGCTGTGGGGAAACTATGGAAACTACAGTTTTCTATACAGCGGACTACAACATGGATGTTATAATAAGAACGAGGGACTACTGTAAACTCATCTAGAGACTCTGCACCGTGCTCTGATGCTGTTGTTTTATGCTTTATGAACGGGGACAACAGAGAAACATATTCTTCATGACCAAAGATGGAATTGAAATAAAAAAGGAAAGTGAAACTTATGCTCGTCTCCCTCTCCCTCCGGTCCACATTAATACAAATGATCCCAATACGTATGATTGTATGAAAAGATCTTAAAATCAATACAAATGTATTTATTATAAACGTTAGTCCTTAACATCTATCACTGTGTATATCACCATTCAAACATCTTTTAAAAGTTGAACAAACCCCACACAGCTCAGTAAAGACTGTGAAATGTTGACTTTATTTGATCATTTCAGTAAAAACTAACGTTCATATTTCTCCTTTTGATTATAATACTGATGAACGTTCAAAACAAAGCACTTTGGCAACTTACCACATACGTTTTAAAATGCTTAATAATCACCGTAACTTTCATGATATAATTTGTCGGTTATAATCGGTTGTTTCCGTGAACGGCCGACTGTTGTGTGACGGCAAATGCTGCGGCCGCAAGGCATTGTGGGGCAGCATTTTCTCCTCTCCTTTCGGTGAGGGAGGTCCAGTGGTTCCTAAGCTAAAGGAGGTTATAAAGGAAGTTTGAAACCTCCTTTCCTTTCATCTCGAGAATTTGAACGGCACTTATCATGGCTGCCACTGAGGGACTTCCGGGTCATTTCACTCCGTTAGGAAGGTTCCTAAGCTAAATGGACTATTCGACTGCAACCTCTGTGTTTAGTGGTACAAAGAGTAACGACCTGTGTCCACATATAGCACATTCTTTCCACACCCCCAACGTTACTCAGTCTCGCTTTTTACGTTAGCATGCATTCCTCAATGTATCAACTAGATTTAAATTCAAAGTCTAACTTGTTTGTTTTTTTAATAAAGGAAGAACAAACAGATGAAGGACAACAACAACGGGCACAATGTGACAGAAAAGAAGCTTTTTCATGGCACTAAATCTGAATATGTAGCCGTCATCTGCCACAAAAACTTTGACTGGAGAGTGTGTGGAGTTAATGGAACTGCTTTTGGCCAAGGTGAGATGAAGAAGTAATCATTCCTGACTTGATAACATAACGTGCAGTTGTATTAAATAAAAAAGTGTTTGCTCTTAAGAGGATGGGAGTGTAACTTACAGTAGGTTATCCTAACATCCTACCATCACAGTCAACATGCAGACACATTTAAAGGCACAGACTATTTTTTACCCCATATCCCTTGTTATAGCTGTCCATTAGTTTTTGTTTTTGTTTTTGTCATTGGTTTGGTAGTACATTTAATATCATTATATAGAGAAACCGGTATACACAAGAGGATTAGGGTCACGCGTAAATAACGTTTTCTTTTTAATTCTGAGAAAAAGTTAATAAAGATACTAACATTTTGATTCTCTTCTCTGTCCAATCGTAGGCAGTTACTTTGCCCGGGACGCAAAATACTCCCACAGCTACACCGAGGACTCTCATGTAAAATCCATGTTCGTGTCGCGGGTGCTGGTGGGGGACTACACCAGAGGGAGCTCCAGCTACCGCAAACCTCCTTCCAAAGACGGGGGGGTCATCAACCTGTACGACAGCTGCGTCGACGATGAAATCAAGCCTTCAATCTTTGTTGTGTTCGATTCAAACCAGATCTACCCCGAGTACCTGCTGCAGTACAAGAGCACGCACCCACTGGTCTCTTTAGTTGCTGCTTCTGCACCAGCACCAGTACCAGCACCGACACCAGTACCAGCACCAATACGAGTACCAGCACAGATACTAGTACCAGCACTGACACCAGTACCAGCACCAAGACCAGCTCCCAAACCCAGTGTCACAAGTTATCAATCTAGCACATCAACATACCAAACCAGTACATCATCATACCGACCCAGTACATCATCATACCGACCCAGTACACCGTCATACCTAACCAGTACACCGTCATACCAACCCAGCACCTCCACAAACTACCCCTCAGTTAGCAGAACACCCAGATTTAGTCCATCTCCCCTACCCACCCCAGTTAACAGAACACCCAGATTTAGTCCATCTCCCCCACCCACCCCGAGCCCAAAGAAGTCGTCTAATTCCTGCGTCATTGCTTAAGGACAGGGATGAAGTGAGCACATGATGATAATATGGAGCTTAGTGTGTACAGAGTGCTGTGAGTCATTTGGGGAATAGATTAAATATAGTAATGACAGCCGAACAGCACCCTTCAGAGAACCTGGAAAACAGCTTTTCCCCATGTTTCCTGTCTAACTGAGTAATGGGTACATCAGTCTTTAACTGGTCTAGTGATGAGGGATGAACTAAAAGGCAGCCAGGTAACAGGCCGTCACTGTGTGCCACTGACATGCTCAGTTTTAAATGTGTGTCCGACACCTTTATAGTTGGAGTCATTGTATTGGAGTCAAGAAGCGTTGCTTATTGTTATCTTAAAGGTGGGGTTTGTAATTTTTGAGAAACCAGCTCGAGTGCGCTAGAATTTGAAAGTACACAACCGGAAAAAATCTGCCCCTTCCTTCAGACTTCAGAGCTCCTCCTCCAACACACACGAATGCACACATGACCAATGAGGGCACGAGATAAGTTTGTGCACAGATGGAAGGCTGACAGGCAGGTAGGCCATCCAGTTATTTTAGCCGGGCCGGCTCAGATGATTGGTCGTGCTTTTCACAGCGCCACGGCTTCCACAGATGACTTTTTTTAATGTATTTATTGTCAAAGCATTTCATATATTCATTGCTATCGGGATGTTAAGAGCATTCCATGGAATACAACAAAAAGTGTTTCTGAAATAAATTACATACCCCACCTTTAAAGCGAGTTATTGTCATGGCGGAATATAAATCTGATATTGACAATGTGCAATTGATTCACGACCTCTGAACAAGACTTCTCCGAGAGAGACACAATAAGCAAAGGTAAAATAAAATGTTGTTCCTCTCCTTTCTATAATGTTGTCAGACAGGTTTAGATAATAACAAAATATGATAACAATCTGAGACTGTCAGTGGCAAAAACACAGTCCTCTTTCATTCAGTAGTGTCACTAAAGTTATTGCTAACAAATAACACTAAAATGATTCATCAGAAAGGTAAACAAATGTTGCCTAAACTTAAGGGCAACTTGTTTTTGCATCTTAAGAAAAGGTAAATTATGGCGCATTTTCAACCTTAAAGGTGGGGTAGGTAATTCACTTATATTCCATGGAATGCTCTTAACATCCCGATAGCAATGAATACATTATATGCTTTGGCAATAAATATATACAAATATTTCATCTGTGGAAGCCGTGGCGCTGTAAAAAGCAAGTCCAATTATCTGCCTCGGCCCGGGGAAGATAATTGGATGGCCTACCTGCCTGTCAGCCTTCCATCTCATGCACAAACTTATCTCGTGCCCCCATTGGTCAAGTGCGCGTTTGTGTGTGTGTTGGAGGAGGGGCTCTGTAAGGAAGTCTTTGTTTCGGTTGTGTACTTTCAAATTCTAGCGCACTCGAGCTGGTTTCTCCATTCTTACCTACCCTACCTTTAACTGTAGGGCCAATATTAGGTGTTTGTTAATCGATTTTGTACCATTAAATCAATATAGAAGGAGGGCGGCGGCAAGATGACATAATTGCAGAGCAAATCAATCGTCAAATGAAAAAAACTTCTCAGCAAGATTTTAACATGGCCTTTTTGATTTTCCTGTTATTATTCGCCACTATTTTTTCTGTGTTTAAAACAAGCTTATGATTTGCATCTTACAGTACGTCATGCTTTTTTATTCATTAAGTCTGTTTCCATTGCACTTATTTAGGTAGGATCAACATTAATATATGTGAAATTAATCAGAAAAATGCTCAGGAAACGTTATACATCACAATAGCCTTTTCTCTCGTTGACTGTTATAATGAACAATATATCATACTGTATGTAGTCATTATTACAGCAGGGGGTCTGCTGCACGGACCCCTGCCAGTAGAGGGCCACACCATCTTTATTGGCATTCAAAAATAAGCCATAAAATGTAAAGCTTCTTACACTAAGTGCAAATTAGTTTTATAATGTGTAGCTACTTGTAGGTTTTGTGTGTAATTTGTCTTACTTCACAATTGCACTGCTTTTACTTTTGAAAAACTCTTTTGTGAGTTGAATAAATAAAAAAAACATGTCATATTTATGTCAACAGAAAGCCTATTTTGTGTGTGTGTGTGTGTGTGTGTGTGTGTGTGTGTGTGTGTGTGTGTGTGTGTGTGTGTGTGTGTGTGTGTGTGTGTGTGTGTGTGTGTGTGTGTGTGTGTGTGTGTGTGTGTGTGTGTGTGTGTGTGTGTGTGTGTGTGTGTGTGTGTGTGTGTGTGTGTGTGTGTCTGTCTGTCTTGGAGCTGCAGTCTCATAAGTGAATGGAAGCCACCAGCGGCCGGCTGAGGCTCTTAGTGAAATGAGGCAGCGCAGGAAAAATGATCAATACAGCTGCTGGTGCTTCCTGTGACATTAGACATTAGGCCTGCAAATCACCCCCCTTCCCCCTCCCCTCCTCCCAGCAACACATACAGCACCTACTGTTTTGTCTCCTGAATGTGAATATGTTTAATTTAAAGATGAGCTTTCACTATATACTTCAGATTTGTTCAGTATCTCATTCCAAATGCATATAGATGCATTCATTAATACTAAACACAGATGGGTAAGTTATCAGTTGAAGAGTTAAACCTTGACTGCAATGACTAATATTATTCTATGAACATTATTTGTATACAGAATTTGTTTACATCCCAAATAGATTTTTCATTTTGCAGAAATGTTTCCAAAATACCTGACCACTAAACCTTGTACAAAAATTCGAAAAAATATTTGGATAAAAGAAAACAAATTATTATTACTCTATTTATATTATCCATAGATCACATGGCCACAGGTCAGGTGCTTTATATATACAGTCTATGGTTGTGTGGCAGGTGTTGCTTATGGTAAAAGTTAGATTTATGTGTAGTGTGCAGCTCAGCTCTAGTGTCTTTGAGCTGTTTGTTTTTCAGCTGCAACCAACAGCTCCATTCCCTTTTTGTTTAAAACATATCGCCTTTTTCTCTACAAAAAAACTGCTTTCTGGGTACAGTAGAGTTCACGACAATTCCCAGGGTGAAAATGGATGTGTCCGTCTCCACTGCATCCATTCCTCTGCCAAACCCTTCTTTATTATGTGTACGCTGCCCTTTAAGATGCAGCTGTCTATGGAAAATGCGGCTGTGGTTCCCAGGATGCAACAGCCCTCCCAGTGACAGTAAATAAGCACTGACATTAACAGCCTACTTCCTGTCTGTGTCTTGCCCTGTTTGTCGGTAGACCGAACACATGCCAGCTGCAAGGAGCTTCCATGCCTCCACATATCAGAAAATCTGGTTTCCCTGTATTGCAAGAGCTTATTAATTCAATATGACTCGTTCCCCTTGGTTTGTGTGGGCCCCTCCTGGTGTTTGAGGTGTTCATGTTTTTGCTGAGTCATAAGCGTTTTGTTCCAGCAGATGGAAGAACGTTAGTGGCAAAAGTCCAGTGTGAGGGAGGTGAGTCAGATCTGTATTTGGCTCATGTCAGTAGAAGGTTTTGTTGACTTTCTGAAATATTTCTGGTGTTGCTGTGGTCAGCAAATCTAGGTACAATCTCAAAAGATCAATAACACCATTGATCAGTTAGCCAGTTTGGTTTATATTTATATATCTTTACTTCTATCTGATGGATGTAAATTCCATTTTGCACAGACATTTATGGTCCCCAGAAAATGTATCCTCAGGACTTTAAAGGTCCCCCTTTAATGACACGATGAGATTGATTTGTATTTATATGTTTACTGATATCTCTTGATAACTAGTTAGGGAATGAAGTTTGGTTCAGACATCATGTTGCCCTCAGCATGAAATCCCAATAGTGATCCCTCACAGTTTTTCTATCAGGTATTTGTTGTCCAATACTTTGGTTTATGACTAAATACCACGAGAACAAATTACATGATGTGCTCAGAGCTATTTAGCAAAAGTAGCATGCTGAAAATCGAAATCAGGCGCTTGCGCTGTGTCTCAGTTTGCATATTTCTGTTCTTGTTCTTGCACTGTACCTGCATGGTGCTCTCATAACGATCAAAGAGTTAAGTGTTGAGGCTGGAATCTTCTCGCCCTCAGATCACCAGCTACTGAGCAGTAATTGAGGGACCAGCCACAGTTGCAGTTGACCCGGGGAACACAGCACGTCACACAAGTTATGCATGTGTTCTTTATTTACCAATTTAATAAACGTACCTGCAAACTTTTGTTAAAATGAAGCCGTTGTTAATTCCATTGGGTTAATTAAGCAGTCATTTAGTACTGCGTCTGCGAATGATGACGTTGCTTGCTAGCATCCAGCTAGAGCACAGTAGGCGTGTGCGGAGTAACACTACCCAGCAAAAAAAAGGTACAAAAATGTAAACAGTGAACAAGGCCCCCAATTCCAAAGAATTTGAAAACTTCTATCTTACATCCTTACCAACCTTGGCCTTGATCAGTTAGTTTGTTGCATTATTGTTTGACCAGCAATTCATATTCATATCATTCAATTCAGTTCTCTGTTGGGAAGAGCTGTCTCACATCAAGTTAAAGCAATGAAAAAACTAGATGTGTTTTAGGTGGATAAAACACATTTTGCTGCTGCCCCCTCCCACAGCAGAACATTGCTCTCTAGTCGTAACTCCTGTTTCTCCACACTGATAATACATACGTATTCGATCCAGCCCCATAAACGTTCCCTTTAAATGTGGAATGAATTGGTGTCTCTCGCAGCGTCTGTGAATGTGCTGTCTTCCTCCCGAGGGCTGGAAGCTGGATCATCGCTGCTCATCAAAAATGAATTAGCTCCAACACAGCAGTATTTTAACATTCATTCACACAGTTATCCACAGCAATAACGTTTTCTTTATCCAGCTTTGTGTTTGTGATCCTGTTGTGTAATGTGTTGCCTGATGAGTCATACTAAGGTTCTGTATGCTATCATTTAGACTTCAGTTAGATACCCATAGAACTTCAGCAAATGAAACCTATGATTCATTTATTTATGAACAATGCGGTTTAAAGACATTGGCTTTTGACCACACAGATCCACAGCAGAGTGTGGGTTAAATGAAATGAATGATATTGTGATTACACTCTGTTACATCAGTGACAGAGCGGGTTATTTACAGTAACAGTGTAAAATGGAACACAGTAACTTCCAAGTACGGTATTTGTGTTTACGGTACAGTGTTTCCCCTAGGATGGAGTCATAGCAGCGGTGCTAAGGCACACGGGCCCAACAAAATGTGAGCGCTCCGTGCGTGGAATTTTTTAGTGTGTGCACGTGCGAGGCTCTACAGGTGTATTTTGCTAAATCACCTTTATTGAACATACAGTAACACAAATACACATCCACATAACAAACAATCAAAATAAAATGTATGCAATTTAATTATTTTAACCTGCTTTATTTGGGGGTGGACCTCACATCCTCTAGGGGGGTCCGGGGGCATGCACCCCCGGGAAGAATTGTTTTTAAATGTTGAAGGGAAATGCATCAATCTGCTGCACTTTGAGCACAACATGAATTGATGGATACAGCTCTCAACACTCAGATGAAAGGGAGCTGTATACTTTTCAATAATCCAAACATCTTTAGAATATGATCACAACCAATAACAAATCATTTAAACTGGTTTATTCTTATCTTATGTTACCTAGTTAGCATTCTTTCTTTCTATTTATGCTTATTTTACTAATCACTCCCCTTTCAAACTGTTTTGTTGTACTGTCCTATAGTACACATTGGAATGATTTCTTACTTTATTTTGTACAACTATATTAAATAGATAAAGGTGTGCTCTCTCTCTCTCTCTCTCTCTCTCTCTCTCTCTCTCTCTCTCTCTCTCTCTCTCTCTCTCTCTCTCTGTCTTGCTCGCTCACAGAGGCTGTGTGCTCCTCCGTGGCGATGACGTGAGCGCCACCTATTATTATTTTAATGTATAAAAATCTCAGCGCCGCTGCTGAATGTATATAGGGGAAACACTGTAAAATGAAACACAATAACTTCCAAGTACTGTATTTGTGTTTACGGTAATAGTGTTTAAACTGTAAAATGAAACACAGTAATATGTAATTACTTTATTTTTTGTTACAGCAGTAGTGTTATAGCTGTAAAATAAAAAACGTTGTTCAAGGTAATAGTATTTTAACTATAAAATAAAACACTGCCATTTAAAAAGTACTGTATTTTTGTTTACGGTAATAGTGTTTCAACTGTAAAATAGAAACTGTAATGCTATAATTTTAAGTTACAGTATTGTAAATATTTCTTTATTATAGTATACTTCATGTCATGCTGGTAATTTACAGATTACCAGAAATTCTTGACACAATTTTAAAGCTCACCAATAACTGCAGGGAGACAGCAAACAATACATTTTAACAATGTATTCTTAATTGTTGAACGGTATCAAGAACATGTATTTTCTTGTGCTAAATGGGTGAGCATACCATGGCTACCACAAATGTAGTCTTCCATTGCATATCCCATGTATCTTCCATGTCTTATAAACTGTGCTTAACTGACCAACAGCTGCAATTCCTACACTTATTAAATATTTTCATCCATAAAACAATGGATATTGAAGAGTATTCTTTGATTCGCAGCCAGGAGAGAGTTAAAAAGAGACTAATGGAGTCTCTGAAAGTTCAAATGAGTAATTTAATAAAGTATCGTTGGTTGGAACAAACAGGCAAGTCTTCACAGCAGCTGTGCACACAGGAAAGAGAGTGAGCACAAAACAACAAAAGTTTGTTGTTGTTTTGTGTCAGTTTTACGTCTTCCATTCACATTTTTCATCATTGTTCCACAATGTTTATCATCATGAAATTAATATCTATATATTTTATACTATACTTGCACTGCTTACCATTTTCATACTTTATATATCTTAGCATATTCATACACACTGTTAATACTGTTCATACTGCTCATAGGCTACTGTGTATATCTAGTGTATTCATACCCCTCACTGTTTATTCATCATTCAATTCATTCTATATTTTATTCTGTAGATTGTGTACATTACTTTTCACTTTACTGCTTTATGCACTCCTGGTTAGAAGCTAAACTGCATTTCGTTGTCTCAGTACCTGTAA